AGCTATAATATGTGCCCTTTCACAAGACGTCACTGGTTCAAACCCAAACAATATTGATGACATTATTGAGATCCTCCTGACCAATCGAATTTAAGGCAAACTTAAAAACCAAATATATAAACTACTCATTTACCGCCTTACATATACTTCAAAGGAAAATCTAAAAAAGACAACTCCCATATTTTCACGCCAATATGAAAAACTGAAAAGAAAAAAGAAAAGCCAGAAGTAGGGGTGGCAAGTGGGTCGGGCCGTCCTAAACGGGTCTAATGGGTCGGTCGATCCGGGCTAAACATACTTTTTGTCGGAACCGGTACGGGACCGGGTCCATGAACTCATGGTCCCGGGTTAAACGGGTCGGGCTCGCCGTCCCAACGGGCTAAATGGGCCCAACGGCTAAGCATTATTTTTTTAAAAAAATTAAATAAAAATTAGAGACAAAAAGATGTTAAAAAAATATCTAAGGCAATGCCTTGTAAATTTATTATAGAATTGTGACCTAATTTTTTAATTCAAATTTAAAGACAAAAATATTGTAAAAAAATATTCAAATCAATGCCTTATAATTTTATTATAGCAATAAAAAATATGGCAATATCTTTCTTAGTCTTCCTCCCTCCTATGAAATGAGCACAACAAGGTGCTAATACCACCATTGAGAAGAAAAATGAGTTAATCAAGATGTGCCAAAATACAAGTTACATAATACATAGTACTAATTTTTGTTCATACAAGTTACATGTTATCTCTTACAAACTTCATAAATCCTTCAAGGTTCGGAGGAAGTTCCGTTGGTGGTGGCGAAAAAGTAGCTTGGTCATCGTCGCTTCCATTGTCGGGCGCAACATCCTCACCAAGTTCAGCTAGCATTTTTTCGTAAGTTTCGTCTTTCTCTGGTTGTGATTCAATAAGTCCAAAATTTCTTCTTTTCGAACGGATCCAATCTCTGAAAAGTATTAATTATTTCAAGCTCTCCATCATAGACGCTCTATAATCACCGATTTGAAGTTTTGCTTGACTGAAAGCACTCTTTGATGCCACTGTTGAAGCTTGAATAGTTAAAATATCTCGGGCCATCCTTGAAAGAATCGGAAAGTATTTTTCTTTGTCCTTCCACCATTGCAAAATATTAAAGGTACCGTCCGGATTCACTTCCTCAAGTTGCTGCGAGAAATAAACTTCAAGCTCATTTAGTTGTGAAAAATTATTACTACTAGAACCAAAAGAACCCCTAAACCCCGCCCAAGCACTAAGCCATCTTACTCCCGCACTTCTTTTAGAAGATTGAGAATCAGAAGAAGAAGAAGGAGTTGGAATATTTGGTCTAGCATGATTTAATAGCGCAAAAATTATTCATATTCATACTTATATTTATAAATATCACTCTTTACGGTTGTGCGAGAAAAACCTTTATAAGTAGGATTAAAAAAAATTCTAATATAATGTACAAACGCAGGGTCAGAAGAAAAACTATAGGGTAAGCACATAGCAGTTACCATTTTTGCCAATTCTTGCCGATCTTTTTTTTGTATCATAATATAAAATACCACTAGTAACAGTGTTAATTCCCGATTAAAATTGATTTGAACCGGTACTAGGGTCAGCCTGACTAGGACTAGGTACACTTTTCCCCTCGGCCAAAGCTTTCAGACGTTGATATCTGACGTTATCTTTAGGGTATTTTTTTATATGTCTAGCGAAAGATCTCGTCCCGCCCCGCGATCCCAAATATTAAAAGTTAACTCCATACCACAAGTTTTACACTTAGCCTTATTTTTAGAACTAGTTGAGTAAAGAATGGCCAAACAGAAGATATTTCCTGTCGTGTGGTAGGTTCTCTAGAAAAAGTAGGGGAGTAACGGGAGTATCAGATAGGTCATCATTTGGATCAGCAGCGTTATCGCTAGTTGGGTCAACATCAAGAGCATGACTAGTAGATGTATCATCGTCCGGTTGAGTTTCATCAAGATCAATTTCCTCATCATCATTTTCATCAATAGTATTATAATAGAGAGCATTCATTAATTCATGGTCTAAATGTTCACCGGGTAGAATATTATGGCAAAATTCAGTCTCGGTAAATTGTAATAAACTATTATCGGTATTAAGAATAGCAGATATAGGATGGGTATGGGATTTGGTTCGGGGAGCCGGGGGCAGGGGAGGAGGAACAGCAGTACCACTAGATTCGCCAGTCTTGGATTTTTTCTTATTCTTATTTTTACCAAAAATATTTCATAAGGAAGATATCTTAATTAATCAAGTAATAGCAAATAAATAAAACAAACAAAACTATAATATTAAGACTTAAGAGTTGAAACGAGTTTAGCGAATTGACGAACAATTTGTCGAAAATTGATTATCATTGAAGACTTGAAGACTTCAATTCACCAACTTCACAATTTTTTCACAAATTGTAACAACCTCAATATTTTTTGACTATTTTTTGGAATAAAGTAAGCAATAGTAGCAAGTATAGAAGAAAATTAGAGAAAGATTGTGATAGTTTGATATTGATTTTGTAAGAAAATGAAAGAATAAGGGGGTATTTATAGTTAAAAATAGGAAAAATTGTAATAATAAAAAGCTTGGGGTTAAAACTAAGTTGGGGGGTTAAATGGCTATTTTTTAAATAGTCAACGGCTATGTTTTAAACCCCAACAACTCTTTTTTTTCAAAAGGCAAACGGCTATTTTAAAAAAAAAATCCGTTTGGCCCGTCAAGGGATCGGTCCCGGTCTTGGTCTCTTGGCGGGCCAAACAGGCCCGGTCCTAACGGTTCCTAGCTAAGAACCGGCCCACGAGACCGGCACGAGCCCACCTCTAACGGTCCTAACGGTTCACTTAGCCCACTTAGCCAGTGGACCCGAGTCCGGACCGGCCCACTTGCCACCCTGAGCCGGAAGAGAGGAAAATGAATTCTCAGAATAGTTATTTCCGTAATCTGTCCAAGGGGAAAATGCTCCACTAAACAAGCACGCAAAAAATGAGTTATATCTGAAAAATCAACTTGAATTTGTCATTGTATTACAATTTCCTACCTTCTAATTACCTTGTCTCCAAGTGAAAGGAAAAACAAAAGTTAAAAGTACAATATCTCTAAAACTTTAGTTAGCAAGGGGAAGAAATTTATATTACCGCTTCAAAGTTTTGGTTATAGTTAAGGTGGCCAAGTTATACATTTGGCCTGTCAACTAAAAAATTTTACATCCACTAGCCAAATATATATATATATATATACAAAATATATATATTTTACCAGCTATTATTTTTTGGAGCGGCTATACCGTGTAATTTTCCCTTTAAAAGAAAAAAGCAGAGAGAAAAAGCAGATGTATAACTGAGTAAACATGGCATTCTCATCAAACCTAAGATTTATGCTAACTACTAAGGTTAGGCGATATGTTGTCCTATCAAGGGCGGATCCACAATGTCACATGAAACCAATAGTTTTTGCCAGACCTTGTATGTGTATTAAGAAATTCACTTGATGTCTAAATATTTGACCATGATTCCATTTACTATAACTTGAAGTCGATGTAGGGAACTATAAACTTCAAATCCTAAATGCGCCTCTGTCCTATGCCTGAGAAACACCAGAACTTTAACTGCTGTCTCATAACATGTTCATGTAAATGAAAAAGGAATCCTACTAATGTGCCCTCAGGAAATCAAGAAATCAAACATCTACACTAATAGCCCTCGGGATTTCAGACTAGGCCTTAATAGAGTAATCAGTGGGCTTCTACTTAGTTACACTTGAATATAGCTCTTGGGCTGTAAGACTGACGAAAATACCGTGACAAGTGCACAATTAGTCACTAATTAGAGATGTATTTACTTTTTAGTTACTGTTTAAAATGTATTTACTATTTCGCCAGTGCTTAATAAATTTTTACCCGCTCGGACAAAAATACATGTGCTAGACATGGGTGTTGTGTAAATATTAAGGACATGGTGTCCTTAACTTCATGAATGTTGTGTAAATATTAAGGACAAAGTATCATGTATTTACACTTTTCGTTGTTAAACTTTAGGGCATCATGTTCTTAACTTCATGTGTGCAGTGTAAATGTTAAGGACATAATGTCCTTAACTTGTATTTACACCTTCTGTTGTTAAACTTTAAGATCTCGTGTCCTTAACTTCATGTGTGCAGTGTAAATGTTAAGGACATGGTGTCCTTAACTTCATGTTTGCAGTGTAAATGTTAAGGATATAGTATCCTTAACTTTATGAGTATTGTGTAAATATTAAGAACATGGTATCCTTAACTTCATGAATACTATGTAAATATTAAGGACAAAGTGTCCTATAGCTGCACCTTCGGTTTTTAAACTTTAGGACATCATGTCCTTAACTTCATATGTGCAGCGTAAATGTTAAGGATATAGCGTCATTAACTTCATGTGTGCAGTGTAAATGTTAAGGACACCATGTCCTTAATATTTACACGGCACTCATGAAAAAAGGATAAAAACATCTTTTCGTATTAATTTTAATAAAGTAGCGGCTATTTTTGCTCAGCATTAAAAATACTGGATAAAAACTAAATACCATATTAAAAAGTTGCTACCCCACGCCATTTGTACGAAAATACCATCTCTCTGGATAAGCCCAAGATTAGGTGGCATCAGCGCATCCCTACACACCAAGAAAGTCGCTCCGATCTCTAAAAGAATTAAAAACTACATGACTTTATTAAGTCAGGGTGTCTCAAAAACTGGATTTTGCAGTCAATCCTAAAGTCATACTTTGTTCGTTCAAGACTTGGTTCAAGACCCTTAACTCCCAGATAACGGATGCCATTCCTCTTGGTGTCAAAGGGTAATTTCCTTAATCCAGCGGACATACTAGAAATCAAAGAATAAAAGGGCAACAAGGTGCACCAACCTACCGCATAGGGATAACTGTTACAGTTGCGCCAAGGCTCTCCTCGGCTAGCAATCAAAGCGTGCCAAATAAGAAACTAAAATTAAGAAGGGTAGATATATCACAAGATCCACGATAAGTCACATTCTGTTAGAGATCCCTTCCGATAAAACTTTTCAGAACTCAACAGCATCCTGCACCGATACAATCTGGGTGTGTGGGCGGAAAAAGGGCGGATTCAACAAACCCTTCCATACACAGGTCAAAACATTTAATGGAGGTTATGGACATCCCCGATAGCTTTCTCAGCCTACCTTCTTCACCTATCGAAATCTCCATTCTTAGCTAAGATATAAAGATCATTGCCTCATCCTTAAAATGTCTTTCTTTTCTCCATGGCAAAAAAAATTTCAACAAGCCTTCCTTTACTGCTAGCAATATTGATCCAAACTTAATGACACCCTGTCCAAATAAGGTCGTCCAACTTATACTACGATCTGCATTAATCCAATAGCACTGCATTAAAGTCTAGATGCTCATCCATATGGAAGCAAAATGTGTGTGTGTGTGTGTGTGTGTGTTTTGTTGGGGGGGGGGGGTGTTAAGGGGGGATACAAAGGGGAATCAGAAGTTTTGAGCTCATAAAGAAAGGGACTTGCACGCTCGTCTATGTAAGAAATTCGAATATTAGCATTCAGAACAAGTGAAGTAGAGGCTGAAATATTCAAGTATAAGTGTAAAATAGAAGCTGTTTACTGTTCAGAATCAGAACCAAGTGAAGTAGAGGCGGAAATTGTAACATACTGGTGCATTAAACCTAGGAAACTTGATTCGTAGCATCTGATATATGACCTGAGCACCAGTTGATTCAATTGCCTGTACTCAAAATGCAAATGGAATCTCATTGCTGACTGCACAAATTAACCATCATATTCAATGCTAACTAAAGAACATCAAACGATATTTAATTCATTAAAAAAGTTGCATGCCCATGCCAAATCAGTGTTAAAGCACTCCGATTTTAACCTGTAATTGTTATTGCAGAGAGCACTTTCTCGCATCAGATTTTAACCTGTCAGAAAAAAGGCAAAATAACTGAAGTCAAACCATCATTCACAATGAAACAAAGGACATTACACTAGACACAGACACATTATGGTCAGAACTCAGAAAACAGCTCAAACAACAAAAATGAATCAAGACAACTACATTAAATACAATTGAGAATAACCAAAACTTCTGCGTGAAAGTTCATATTAATGACGTACATTTTAACAAGAAGTCAAATCCAGACTAGAATCCTCTCAAAGAAATTTGTATTGACATAATTTCACTCATCACCTTTTCAGACAGTTCATCTGCAAAAACCAAAGTGTTGATGGAAGCACTGTAGTATAACATGTTGAAACTGAGCTTTCACAGAACATGAAATATATAGACAGAATTTTCCATTCCAGCAATGTCAATAAGCAGATTTTCGTTAATTGACATGTCACTTAACTCTAACGGAAGAAAGTAACTTATGGGGCAATCACCTACTAGAGAACACTAAAGAGTCAATCCATATAGACGCTAAACCCATATTATTACTACTTAGGTATATATAAAACAGGTACACCATGGCATTATAAACTCGTGGAATATCGGAGAGCTCCAGAAATTAGAATCCACACTGATCTGCAATCTGCACAACTACATCAATGAGTAAATAAGGTGCATCCACATCCATCAGCAGTGGCGGATCTAGAATTTGAACTTTATGAGTTTTGGATTCTAGGGGAACAACCTCAATTGCTAGTAACTGAGTTCTAAATTTAATTCTGGTACTGGATTCTACCGAACCCATACATCAGCCCCTGTCCATTAAAGGATCATGTAAATGGTAGAAAGAACTAAATAAAAAATACTGCAAGGATGTCAAACAGCAAAAGACGAACCTCTGTACTAAAAGAACTGTTGAAATTTAAAGTAATGTACAAAAGATTTTATCTTCTCAGAATGAAACACACAGGAATAGATTCAAGTAATTCAAGAGGAAATAGATCTGCCAATTCCTGGTCAAATGTGCTCTCTGTTAATCCAAACAGTTTATGTGAAAATGACAAAAGTGTGTTTGATGACCAAAAGGATTGTTTGTTTGGTAATTTAGGTATACTTCGCAAAGAGAAACAGATTCACTCATAAGTATATAACAATAAATCCAACATAAAGCGTCGATTATGCTATTGTTTTAACCCAACATAGTCACTCAATTTGATGAAAGAGACCATCAAAACTTTTCAGCAAGGCAGGCTTCATCTCAAGGAAGACAAAGTAAGGCAGTATCAGTTGGAAATTGCAGCCTCCGTACTGTTGGAGCTCTACATTTCAAGAGGAATAATACGCACGCCTTCGAGATGAAAATTCAGGAATTACATCATTCCAAGCAACCTCCTGCAAAAGGAAACAAAATTAGCTTCTAGGAATCAAATTTCATCCTCACCATTTTGAACCAGCTTGTAAACAAAAGCATAGAATGGAAAATAAATTTGGAAAGAGGGATTACCTGAAAGACAAAAGCTTAATGCTAACACCCACCAAGCTGCTCCGCAACTCTCACCAACAATATATTACTTTAATTGCAAAGAACTTGAATCTATACACACAATACCTAATTGGATTTGGAATGAAGCTTAGACATGAAAGAAACAAATTCAACTCGATTAGTATCAACTTAATTTTTTTTTTGCTTCCTTCATGATTCAGTCATCCCATTCCTATCCGCCCAATATTCTCATAGTTAATTGAAGAATTAATCTAAATAGTAGCACACTCAATCGCTTAAACTAAAAATAGAGACTTTTGCATTTATACCCTGTTTTTGGATCACAATTGAACTTATACCCACTTTGCAAAAAAATTTGCAATCGTACCCACTTTACGATCAACTTCAGACTTATCAGGCCTGAAGTTAAAAAAAATTATTCTGAAGTGAAAAAATTGCACTTCAAATGCATTTAAGGCCAAATAGGTCTGAAGTGCAACCAATGGTTTCATGCACTTAAGGCTAATAAGTTTGAAGTGGAAAATTGCACTTCAGATGGACTTAAGGCCAATAAGTCTGAAGTGAAAATTTGCACTTCAGATACACTTAAGGCCAAAAAGTCTGAAGCGCAACAAACGCTTTGCTACACTTAAGGCCAATAAGTCTGAAGTGAAAATTTGCACTTCAGATACACTTAAGGCCAAAAAGTCTGAAGCGCAACAAACGCTTTGCTACACTTAAGGCCAATAAGTCTGAAGTGAAAATTTGCACTTCAGATACACTTAAGGCCAAAAAGTCTGAAGTGCAACAAACGTTTCCATTCACTTAAGGCCAATAAGTCTAAAGTGAAAATTTACACTTCAGATGCACTTAAGGCCAAATAGGTCTGAAGTGTAATCAATGGTTTCATGCACTTAAGGACAAAAGGTTTGAAGTGCAACAAACGTTTTCATTCACTTAAAGCCAATAAGTCTGAAGTGAAAATTTGCACTTCAGATGCACTTAAAGCCAAAAAGTCTGAAGTGCAACAAACGTTTTCATTCACTTGAGGCCAATAAGTCTGAATTGAAAATTTGCACTTCAGATACACTTAAGGCCAAATAGGTCTGAAGTGTAACCGATGGATTCATGTACTTAAGACCAATAAGTCTGAAGTGAAAAATTACACTTCAGATGCACTTAAGGCCAAAAAGTCTGAAGTGCAACAAACGTTTTGCTACACTTAAGGCCAATAAGTCTGAAGTGAAAAAATTGCACTTCAAATGTATTTAAGGCCAAATAGGTCTGAAGTGCAACCAATGGTTTCATGCACTTAAGGCTAATAAGTCTGAAGTGAAAAATAACACTTCAGATGGACTTAAGGCCAATAAGTCTGAAGTGAAAATTTGCACTTCAGATGCACTTAAGGCTAAAAAGTCTGAAGTGCAACAAACGTTTTCATTCACTTAAGGCCAATAAGTCTAAAGTGAAAATTTACACTTCAGATGCACTTAAGGCCAAATAGGTTTGAAGTGTAACCAACGGTTTCATGCACTTAAGGCCAAAAAGTCTGAAGTGCAACAAATATTTTTATTCACTTAAGGCCAATAAGTGTGAAGTGAAAATTTGCACTTCAGATGCACTTAAGGCTAACAAGTCTGAAGTGCAACAAATATTTTCATTCACTTAAGGCCAATAAGTATGAAGTGAAAATTTACACTTCAGATACACTTAAGGCTAAATAGGTCTGAAGTATAACCATTGGATTCATGCACTTAAGGCCAATAGAAAAATTGCACTTCAGATGCACTTAAGGCCAAAAAGTCTGAAGTGCAACAAACATTTTGCTACACTTAAGGCCAATAAGTCTGAAGTGAAAAATTGCACTTCAGATGCACTTAAGGCCAAAAGGTCTGAAGTGCAACAAGCGTTTTGCTACACTTAAGGCCAATAAAGTCTGAAGTGAAAAATTGCACTTCAGATGCACTAAAGGCCAAAAGGTCTGAAGTGCAACCAACGTTTTTATGCACTTAAGGCCAAATAGGCCTGAAGTGCAAATTGCCTAGAAATAGAAAATTGCTCTTCGAATTATAACAATCCAATATACGATTTAATACCTAAATCTACTCCAAATGAGCTCAAATTTGAAATATAACCTCTAAATATCATCAGGAACAAACTCCAATCGTCAATTTGCCAAAACATCAATAAATCTAATGAACCCGTTTTGCAATTAAGAAAAAGGAGAAGAAGAAATTGTGAGCAATAGTAAAAAATAAAGCGTCATAACAGCTCGCAATTGTAAAACATCATAAACAACATTAAAATATGTTCACAAACACCATATAAAATCATTATCACCCGAAGAAGAAGAAGAAGAAGAAGAAGAAGAAGAAGAAGAAGAAGAAGAAGAAGAAGAAGAAGAAGAAGAAGAAGAAGAAGAAGAAGAAGAAGAAGAAGAAGAAGAAGAAGAAGAAGAAGAAGAAGAAGAAGAAGAAGAAGAAGAAGAAGAAGAAGAAGAAGAAGAAGAAGAAGAAGAAGAAGAAGAAAATGAAAGAGGAGGAGAAAGAGGCCTCAAGTTGTTTAAAACGTGGGTACAAGTTAAAAAAAACTTTAAAAAGCGGGTATAGGTTAAATGGGGGCGACCAAATAGAATGCCCCGTACAATTTTTACCTAAAAATAGCCGATGAAGATATAATATATGCATAATCTATGTATTATATATGCATAATTATGTATAAATTATGTATATGGCTAAAAAAAGTAAACAGTGAATATGATCGGCTATTTGTGTAAAGATCCCTAGTTAATTTTCAAAAATAAAAACTTGCCTTGTTATAGTTCTTTTTTTTGTTTTGCCGTTACCTTGTTATAGTTTTTTATGGAGTAGTATTTTTATGAGTTTTAGTTTTATGCACTATTAAACAACAACTAAGCCTCAATACCAAATAAGTTGGGGTAGGCTATCCGAATCAACAGTTTTTGTCTTAAGCTCAACTTATATCACCATCATAATAAAATAAAAATAGAAGAAAAAAATAAAATATATTATAATAATAATAATAATAATAATAATAATAATAATAATAATAATAATAATAATAGTAGTAGATTTGTCTGCAAATCTAAGACCTATTCTCAATTAGCAGAGAATAGTTACATTGACAATGTAAAAAATATTTATAAAATTATCTAATTTAAAAGGTAATTACATATAATTCTATTTAATTGACATTCATTGATAACCTACGATAAATGATAACATGCTATAATAGGTTATATTAGATGGTACGTAAAAGATTTGCCGTCTCTGGTAGAGCATTGATGTTGTTATTATGTTAGAATTTCCCAAAGTTAATTGGTGTCTTTTCTTCATGTATTGTACGTTAGTACAAGAAAACGTTTAAACCATCCATCTTAAAATGACAGAGTCAAATCTAGTAATAATGAATATTCTCTTCAATTCTTATTCCGAAGAAGCACTATGCCACTATGTATTGATTTTTTTCTCTCTTAAATTTGCTAAGTCCTACTCTACTAAGTACTAATTTTGATGCAGTATTATACATTCGTAAATTGTAATATAAGGTCATGCCCTTAGGGAAGGAGGATCGATAATTACAAAAATTTAAAAATGAAGAAAGGAAAACTTTTGACAATTATTAAAATTATTTCTAAGACCTGTGGTGTTAAACAAAACATGACATTTCTCTGACTATAAGAGCATGTCATTAATAGTTTTAATCAATAAATCACTAAGCCTAATCCAAAAAGAGCTGAAGTGGATTAAGTGAATCTTGTGTAGATTTAAGATGAAGTGTCAAATCCAACTAGATTATCAAAACAATTATAACCGACCCCTCCATGGTGATGAAACAGTAAGTGTCTATTTAATTAGCAGTAACGTAAACAGAAAACTAATTGAATACATTGGGGTAGTAAATTAAAAAAGAAAATTTACCATGTAATGAGAACAGGATATTGATCCATATCGTTGAACACATTGACATGAATATTATCATTGGTGGAGGCGTTGAGAAGAGGCCCAGGAAACTTACCATTGATAGTTATCACCTGAAAATGTACAAAATCAAGATTACAAATAAAACTTTGAAGCAACATATACTAAGGATTCAAGATGTATTTAGGGACCTACAAAATATTATACTTTTTTTCTATTTGTAAATTTTCTTAAATTTATAAATTAGATAGCGGAAGGAAAAAAGTGATGGTGGCATTTTTCACTATATCACTAGAATGTAAGCTTTGGCGGTTGAGAAATTATATGTAATACTATTTCATTTAAATTGAGGAAAGAAGCAAAATATAGTCAATTCGCCAACATATAATTAGTTGGATAGTGTAGAGTTAATGATTGCAGGTTTTAGTAGACAAAATCTTGTACCTGACTTCCTTTTGTGAATTAGTTTTCTTTTTATTAGTGCCTTTTCTGAATGGGAGTATTTTTACTCATGGATGTCAATTACATCAAGGCGAAGAAAACAGGATTAATGACATGCTATAAGCAAATCGAATTGTTTATATACTTATTAAGTAATTGTTTAATGTATTATACGAATTATATGTAATATGTATAATAGGTAAATATTATAAATATTACTTATTCATCCAAGTATGCACTATTATACAAGCATTCACATTTTACCAATAAAATATAGTTATATCACCAAATAAAAAAATTGAAAGAAAGGGAAAGTACCAATAAAATCATAATTAATGATAGGAAAACTAAAACCTTTGATTCTATTGTTAAGGAAATGATTAATGAACACTTTGGATGCGTGATTGTAGGTACAGGATTTAAAGTTTTCTGCTAGGAATACAAATATTTAGTTGCCTTGTGTGTAAAATACCTATTGTTGCGTCGTTTGTGAAAATTTTTCTTAAATTTTTTGTCTATTTATGGTTTTTGCCCTTTTTTTTTTTACACACACATCATTCGAGCCTAAAGTACTCGTTTAAGTTGAATCGACAGAACATGTACTAAATTTGGCTCTTTTTTCACTAACATAGAATACCAATCAAAGTTATAAAGAAAGAAAAAATTGAAGAGTTTTGAATCATACAGGTTGATCCACAGAGACTGGTTTGATGTTTTTGTCTTGAGCAACATGCCATTCAAGAAAAATTTCTTCTCCAATAATGGCTTGCATGGAAAGCAAAGAGCAAAGAACCAAAGAGAGAAACAGCCATATTGGTGATCCCCTCATTGATTATATTCTCCTTAATTAATAACTTACTAATCTCACTATAATTATGATGATTAATGAAGCTAGAGATACAAAGGGGTTTTAATATATAGGTTTAGAAACGTTGTATTCTGTGAAAAGGAGGAGTTAAATGCTCAGAGAAAAGAGGCAAAAAAGATGAGAAATTCTTTATAGCTTTCTCTTTCAGAGCATTGTTTTTCTCTAATAATAAGCAGTACACAACTATATATTTGCTGGAGCCTGCAGACCCTTATATAAGCTAGCTACTTATTTGTTATCGATAGGATATCAACTTTTGCGAATATTATATTCCCTTAAGATGGCCATAACGATGCTTATGAAAAGAGAACAATTATTTTTTTAAAAGAAGACAAAATTACTAGACTAGCGAAATATGTCATTTTGCCATCCAAGATTGCTCATTGTAATTCTCTTTCTCACAATATAATCGTCTTTTCCACGTAGCTGCAGCAAAGACGACAAATGTATATATTGCTGAATTCTTAAATAGGAAAAAAGGAAAATAGAAAAAAAAATTTAACAACATTGAGATGTGCTATATTAAACTTACGTTATATTATGCATTTAATTTTATAATATAACAGAGCAAGAAAATTTACACAATCAAATTACTTCAAAAATAATTACATATAACTTTTACACTTATTATGAATTATCAATACCAAATGATATGTAAGTTGAAAAATAAGATAGATATTCCATTATAACAAGTTAAATATATTGAATTTTTTTATACTGCTAAGATAAATCTTTTTATTGTATAATGAAGTTGAAGGATAGCTCACATCATGCGCATCTTCACTTTTATTTTTTGTTGGTACGTGGAGGGGTTCATTAAAACTCAAAATTAAGTAGGATAAAATTTATTTGCACCTCGTGTTTATACCAAACCAATGAATGCAAGACATATATGATTATATTCCATACACATATTTATTATTAATCATGGATATGCTATATACATTTTTACTTTATTTTTTAACATTAAATTATTTGCTTTAATATAAAAAACGGATGCGGGTACAGTGTTGGGCTAAACGGATCCTTCAATAAATGAAATCAATGAAATGATTTACTAGTATTAAGCTGAAATAGGTAGAGCGGATCAAAGAACTGTATCCCTTGTAGCTCTTATAGCTGTATAATAGTTTCAAAGCTAATGTTTTTATGTCTAATTTAGAAAATTAAAATATAAAATGTTTCATCTTGGTTTTGACATGGGCAAGTTTGTCTGTTCAAATAAGTTAGCCAGGAGAATTAGCTTTAAACTAAAAGGGAACTCCACGCAATGCAAACTGAAGTAGTTTCAGATATTATTCAAAAGCTTCACAACGTACATTTCAGAATAGAAAAAGAATCAGAATAATTAATCTTCCACGGCGTTTTGATCCATCTGTTCAGTTAAATTGGTATTGACTATTGAGTAACTTAATTCTGTTACGTCGCGCTACGAAAAATATAAGCTTAATGATTTATGACTTAAAAATATAAATTGTTGTGTGAGGTTTATCATTAATTTTACTGCCTATATCATAGTAATTCTAACGAATGTGTTATAAATATAATCATTGGCCTAATTAAACAATCTCACTTCAAGTTCATACAGGGGCAAGTGCACAGACAGCCATTAGTATATTTTATCCTAAAAATTTTATAACTTCAGGTCAACTCGAGACATACTGAAAACCTAAAATTCAACTTAATTTTAGGTCAACTCGAGACATATTCAAAAACTGAAATTCACTGAAATTTAAGTAACACTGATCAATTTCTGAATAATCCCTTTAGAATGACTGCACTGACTAATTTCTAAATAGCAGCCCTTTAGAGTGACTGTCCAATGTCATTTCTAGGCTTTTATATACCAAACAAACAAGAATTCATTCAAAGAATATACTTAATTTTTTCAGCTTGAACAACTTTGTATAAAGCCCAAAAATTGTTTTGGCACAAAACTTAGCTTGTTCGTCTCTCCACGAGACATAGAAGCTAAAACGACCAATCCTTAAAAAAGATTGGACACTGATGATCTTGTACATTTTTTATCTTGGACCACAACTATAAGCCAAAAATGTCTTGGTACAAGACCTGTTACATCTCCCCGCGAGACGCTATTATGAAACCACTCTTCTAAAGATTAACAAATGAAAAAAAATAAACTTTACATCTAGTAGATACATGAAGATAATCTAGCTATGGCCAGCAAAAAAAAGAACAACACGTTCCATCGACTGTACGATGAACTTGTCATTCGACTGCAAATCCTGGTAACAAGAATCGCCCCGTTTATGAGTATATAGCAAGCATATATCTCAACTAGGAGCAACATTTTTCGCTATGTTGAGACTTGTGCGCTTCTTTCTGTTTCAAAATTTGGTTCTTCACTACTGTTGAGCCTTTCTCCAGTAGACTTGGCACCTCCAGTATCTGTAAGTGAAATTTGAGCAGTTAGCAAACGCTAAGCAAAATGTATTCTGAATGATAAACTGCAGAGCTGAGATATTGTGTTTCAGGACGATTGAGATAATCAAGGGACCATCTCTTTGACAACGTAGATGAGGAGCCGCATCATGGACGATCCGAGAAAAGAGATGCCAAAGATGATGTCCTCCTCAATGGGTCAAGCACAAGCTCGGAACTACCGGATCCTAGCCTATGTTGCTCGGGTACTTCAAAAGTGCAGCCCAGTCCGTGTTGGGTCCTCCTAAAATGTGACAAATATGATCTAAAAGTTATGCATTTTTGGAGGATCCGACATGAATGCTGCAACACTTTTGGAGGATCCGAGCAACACAATTCCTAACTGCAAGCCACTACCCATACTTAAAGCACGTCTCCACCCGTTGCTCCATTGCAAAAGCCCCAGACTAATGAAACGCCCAGCCCGGCGTTTCTATTAAAGTAGAGTGTCTCGTATTTTAAACTTTCAGGTAAGATGTTTTTAGAGAACATCTGTCTGAAAACATACACTGGGTATCTTTTTCTTTTTTTCCCCGGAAAACATATTAGTTTAATTTCCATAAACAAGGCAAAGTTATAGCTCAAGACAGTAGAGATAAAACTTGAATGGGACTACAAACGTATATGACGCCTGGGTTAACTTCAGCAAAATTTGTCCAACAAATAATCAGTAGGCACTGAGCAGATGGCTTTTTTCCCATCCAACACAAGACCATTTGGTTTTCCACTTATATATAATATTTGAAGATTATATTGATAGTCTGCATTTATTGCAAGAAAAGAAAGGAATATATGGCTCCAACTTATAGTAGGGAATCCAGTTGCCTAAAAGGTTATCCCACGAATGGGGGCAAAATAATCCACGAGGGATGTAGTTTTCTAATAAGACATTACACATGTTTGCTATCCCCTTTTTGTTTACCTCGATCAGTGTCTGTTTATTTGGCAAACCGAATATCAATACATCCGCCACAAGAAACTCCGAACAATTATATCTTAAACAAAAGAGGAGAAAAAGAGCCTAAGAGAAGTACCTTCTTTGTGAGATCTTTAAAGCAAAGCTGCACATTTTCTCTTGTCCTAGCACTACATTCAAGAAATAAACAATTGTGCTCCTTCGCAAATGCCAGGCCTTCTTCTCTACTTACAGCCCTTTCACTATCCTGGAAATAGGATATGTCAGTAACATGAGCAAATTCATCACAGCAGAACTTGAGTTTTTTTTTTTCTTTTTTGGGTTCATATCTCTTAAAGATGAGATTACTTGAGCATGATTGGTGAAGAAAATTATTAAACGATGACCATAAATGGCTTTAGCAATATTTTTGGAAAGCGAAGTGCGAAATACTTCAACTTCAAAAGGTTTGACCAATTTATCTAAGTGAAGAGGTGAATTGCAACATGAATTTCTTGATTAGGTTCACAGACAGTTACTTAAGAATGACCATCAAACCATTCCTGATGAATATCGCAGATATGCAGGATATCACTCTTTTAATAGCTCATTGCAAGTCAAAAATAAGATTTTTTTTTTAAATACAAATTATGAACCACTAACTTTCACATCTTGCTCCTCATCCTAGGTATTCAAACAAAATGAATGGATTAACTAACATTTGACTTCATGATGATACAAAAGGATAAGCCACACTTACCCTATCAACTTTGTTCCCGACTAGCATCTTGATACACTCAGGATTCGTGGAGTAAAACTTTATATCCTTCGCCCAAGTTTCTGATAAATTTGTAAAGGTCTCTCGCCTTGTTACATCATACACTAAGATTTAAAAAGATCGATATTAGTTATCATAATAATAAACAACTAGGACCTGATCAACTTGAGGAAGGTATTCACATATAATCAATGAAAGAACAATTTCAAAAGTTCTGATAATAATCCTCACAAAGCAATAACAACTAACTCTGATTGCTTACCTAGTATTATTCCGTGAGCCCCTCTATAATACGAGCTTGTCAACGCCCCAAACCTCTCTTGTCCAGCTGCAGGGAGATAACTTAAACTCAGAAACCCAGCCTTACTTTTAAATTGTAAAACAGGAAGAGTACTAACACCTCTCTCTACTGCTTTTATTTAACTCTTTTTTTCCCCACAAGTTGGTATAGTTTCCCAAAATTAATAGCATAACCTCAAAATTATGTTTTATTACCTGTATCCCAAATTGTTAATTTCAACCTCTTTCCACCAACTGTTAGCGTCCTGATTTTGAAGTCCACACCTTAACATTTCAAATAAAATGTGAGAGATGAGATCTGCTTTCTCCATTTCCTTCGGTAATTAAAATAATAAACTGAAACGCATTTGTCCCTCTCAATTAGGGAACACTTGATACGTTTGTTCACCTTTTCATGTTTCAACTTTTGTAATGAACTGATATGAAAAGCACAACCAAGTAAATGAAAAGAAAACTGAAACTAACTTCTACTACAAGTCAACAACTAAGGAGCATGTCTATTGCTGCAGTATCTATCTTTTTCAACCAGAATAAAAAACCACTAGGTGATTTAGTTGAAGAAGAATTCTACCAATGGTAACTGAAAACTATTATATACACTTCTCCGATTTTGGAGAAAAAAACTAGAAAATGCTAAGGTATTTGAACTATGTTTAGGAGATACGAAGAAATTTTAGCTTCTTCAAAACAAGGACGTGCAAAGGGAAAATATGTGCCACCTAAATCATGACAATGATTGGCATCCTCACACGAAGAATGGGACAGCCACTGCAATTTGCATATGGAAATTTATCATTGCTATTGCACAATAATTTTTAAATGTTTTTGAATGCACGAGCTACTAGCACATTAGGTCAAGCAAACAGCATACAGGGAATTACAAGGGATTATTGTCCCTTTCTCAAAGTTGTGAAGTAAAACAGAACAAGGTACGAGTGGTTGCAGAGTTTTGCGAGCTACTCCTTCATAGGAAACAAAAACATGGTGATTAATATTCTCATTTCAATCTCCGCAGACGGTCAGCTTTTTATGACCAAAAAGACGATGGTTATAAGATTTTGTCCTTGTATTGATGCAAGACACGGTAAAGTCATAGCATGTAGGACTATTGTTATGGGGCTCAACATGGAGAAACTCAATGACGACAACCTTAAATTGGAAACAGAACACAAGTTTAATGACTATGTAACGAGTTTCAAGTTGTCAGATCTTGTGTAGATGAAATTTTTATCGAGTCTCAGTTTACAGGTGCAGAGCAAATTCTAATTTGATATCAGGAAGGAATTGATATTCTCTGAAATCAGTACCATTTATGGTAAATTTAAGCTCCACCTCTCACAAATTGAATTATTTCCATTTCATAAGCTTCTCCAAATACCTTCTTTCATTCATGCCAATGAGAAATGCTAGACCTACTTGTCTATGCGTCAGTCATCGTAATCCTAGTATAGAAATGTATAAAAAGGTAAAAAAATGATAAGTATCAAAGTGCGTTAAATACACATTTATTCCTATTTTCCCATACAATGAGCAACTGCAACAACTTCCAAAGGTACGAGATACGCTAATTGATTACTAGCTCCAATTCATACTATCGGTCTTCTAAGGTTTTTCCACACCCCTTAATTAAGATCTTTAATAGTTCTCAAATGTTTCAGTTAATTAACGCACTACTAATGGAAGTAGCAAGTGTATTTGGAAAAAATAAGGTACTCCTATAAATACTCCTTAGTTTCCTAAAAGGTCAAATCTTTAAAAACAAATCCAAGTCTGTCAAAACAACTAATATTGGGACCATAGAACATCATACAGGTCAGTTCCCAGGTAACCTGGAAATAAGTAGAATCAACCTCAACCAAACAAGCTAGCCAAGTGCTGCTATTTAGGAATTAGTCAGTGCGTCCTGAATTTCAATTTTACAGTTCAATTTTTCGGCACAAAAATGTCCTAAATTGTCACTAAGTTAAAGATTTTTAGTTTAAAATTTCAGGACAAAATAAGTACGGGCTAATCTCTAAATAGATTCCCGAGAATGGTTATCTGTGCACTTGGGACTCAGAAAAAATACAAAGCATAAGTATGACATATATCTAACAAAGATCATTTTTTTTCCAATTCTTGGGATTCAGAAGCTAACCCAATAGAACTAAGCTAGTTCAGTAAAATAACAACCAAAAACAAACAAACCCCACGAACAAGAACAACCACTGGCACAAAATTAAACACAAGCAAAATGGATTAAAGCTATAAAAAGGGTGTTTAATTTTTATACCAATAGTAGGAGAAAGGTCCTGAGGAGGATGCTGAGAAATAAAGCTGAGAAGAAGACTGCTTTTTCCAACTCCAGAATCTCCAACTAGCAGAATCTGGAACGAATAATCATAACTACTGTTTCCACCGTTTTGATTCTTCCTCATATCCATTATTATTAAATATTAAAATCTAAATTAATTCCACATACTTAACACTTCTTATTCTCTGCTTCTACAAAATCTCTCTCTATTTTTTTTTCTTCTCAATCTCAGTATTCTCAGAGTTTCGTTGAAAACAAGGTAGATAAACCAATTAATTTTTTTGAAAATATATGAACAGTTGATTGATACTGAAATTTTTGAATTAATAAAAATTAAGAATAGGAATTTTGAAATAGTATATTAAGAGGTTAAGGAGTTGGCGGGTGAAATAGTAGGACAAATGTTGTCTTTTCATAGAGACATTTGTGAGGAGATTTGTACACGCGCTAGCACCAGGAAGTAGCTGATCTCATTTTTGGGACCCACTGTGCCGTGCTGTCACGCGCCTGCAGTTTGGTTTGGTATTTCTCGTTTGTCTTCTTCTGTTTGAAAGTTTTCCACGTTTCGTATATTCATAGGCAATGTTTTATATATTAAAGTCTTTTTAGCAAATTGACTTATACTTATGTAAAATACAAAATATTGAAAATATGGTTGAAATTTTTGGGTGTCAATCATGCAGCGAAAGTTGAATATCTTTGATACGTTTCAACTAGAAAACTAATAAGACATGTTGGTCAATCTTTTATCCGTTAAAAATAAATTTGATATCGGAAAAAATAATTTACTTATCTTTTTAATATTTGAGACTTTAAAATTAACTAAAATTTTCTAAGTGAAATGTCAATTTTTTTTAATCCTTTGAACATAGATTTTTTATTTGATAGAAATATTGTTATAGTTAAACGTTAAAAACTTGGAATGAGCTAGCAACTAATTTGTTAAAGAAAATTCAATTCTTTTACAAATTTATCATATAAGTAATTGCAAAATTTTTAGTGTACATAAATTTATTTCCATTATAACAGTATTAAATATGAAAGAAATAAAAAAAAATTAGAGCAACATTAATTATAATATAGTATTGAGAGTTGGTTACACGCGCAAAGCGCATACCCTGAGACTAGTAATTTGAAATGAGAATGTAAGATATAGTAACAAGATCATGTAAATACTAAACTCATGATGATAGAACTATTAATATTAAAGATAGTAAGAATTACGTAAAATTTTAACGTCTGGCATTAGAGATGATAAATTATCTACTTAATAAATTTTTACTTGCTTGTTCAACTTCTTTTTTCGTACATATTTTTTTGGTACTATTCTTTTTATGACATAAAAATACAGGAAATGCTCTAAACTTTACCAAAAGTTGATCTACAGTGAGAAACAAAAGTAATTAGATTTTTTATTTTGATTTTTTATTCTGATTTTTTGCTATATACTTTACTATTGAAATAAAAAAGATATAATTGGTCAAATCATGACATGAAGGGATAATTTATTTCCTTTTGAAAATTTGAATTCGGAACAAATGAAAACGAATTCAAACTTTTTAGGCTACACAATAACATACAAAACAAATACTACTAATATCAAAACTCTAGGGACAGAAGTACTATAAAAATTGTTAGCACATAGGGTGTGTTTGGTATGACGGAAAATATTTTCCTATTTTTTACTGTTTGGTTACATAAAATAGTTTGGAAAATATTTTTCTAGATATCATATTTTTCTGAAATTGAAGGAAAATGACTTTCCTAGAAAAAGTTAGAAAAATATTTTCCAAAAACTCTACATACTCTCGCATCTAACCCCAACCCCCTCCCCCTTCTCTCGCCTACCTCGCCCCCTTGCCAAAAAGGTTTTTTTTTTCTTTCAAATTTCAGTTTTTTTTCTTTTCCGTCACCGCCCACCACCGCCACCACCACCCACCCCGCANTTTTTTTTTTTGTATTTTTAGTTTTCTATTTTTTCATTTTTTTTGCACCATTTACCCCACCCCACCCCCGCCGCAAATTTTTTTTTATTTTAATATTTTCATTTTTTACGATTTACAGGTTCAAAATTTTACGAGTTCCAAAATTATTTGTTCAGAGGTTTATGTGTTTGGAAGTTTGCGGGTTTAGAAATTATAGAGTTTACTGGTTCGAAAGTTTAGCGGTTCAGAAGTTTATCAAATTTATGGGTTAGGAAGGTTGTTGGTTCGAAAGTTTATGGCTTCATGTTTATTGTATCTAAATTATTTATGAATACTCTTGAGAAGTTATTTTTCTTAATTTGCGTACCAAACACCGGAAAATGAGTAAGATTACTACTTATTTTTCAAGAAAATATTTTCTTGGCACGAAAAATATTTTTCGTTATACCAAACACACCCATAATCTCATTAATTTCTGTTAACTAATAAAGAATTTATTTTCAGATTATAACTATATTTAGACAAAAAGTTGTCTATTCAGATGATCACACTGAATATTTAGTTAACCAACACCATTGGTAGCTGGCTAATAGTTGGTAGAGACCGTGTGAGAAAATGAACTATAGAAGGACAATTAGAGAGAACTTTTCATTATTTGGAACATTATGGGAAGTAATTAAGGGCTTTATTTTATTTGATATGATGATGATAAAAATTGAACTTAAATGAAGAAGTAAAAATTTATATGGTCGACCTTAACTTATTTGAGATTTGTATAGGAAAAATTACGACATAACATGTGGCCGCTTAAAGGAAGGACACGTGGAACACAAAATGGAGATGGCCACCGAACATAGCTATTCCGCTTGTCACCGGAAGGAATAACGATCATAAAGGGAATATTATATACTTTGCGCCCGGTAACATTTAATACGGAATATTTTGCAGCATTAAGGATGATGGCCCGTTACAAGAAATTTGGCATTTATGTCTAACGTTACATCTTCATCAATGGCCCTCATAATTGACATTAAAGAAGGGCAAGATCCTAGGATTTCCTTCCCTAAACATAGATATAAATAGAGAGCTCAAATATCATTGTAAGAGACACAAATTTTCTGGCTAACATATACTACATTCTATACATCATTTTAATACATTTTTATTCTCTCGCTTTTGATTTTATCATTATTGTGCCCGAGAACCCTGTTCCTGGACTCATCAGCTCTGTCGTTCCATTTACATTCTAAGGCTAAGTATTTTGTATTTCATCAGTTATTTCGTTACTTTTTGGATCAAATTAATTCACTTGTCTAGAAACTACGAACAAATTTAACTGTACCGTTTTTCGGGTAAACAGTTTGGCACCCACCGTAGGGCCTAGACAGTCGTGCAATTAAATTGATCCTTGCCTTTTTTACTAACGTATTTGATTATTTTGTCTTGGCAAAAATCACAAAAGAAATGGCAAATAAAACTGTTAACGGTACACGCAACCCTGAAATTCAAGGGGAGCAGCCTCATTTCGAAGATACAATCAATGACACTCGCAATGAGGAGAACGACGCCACACCAATGCATGACATGTGGTACACTCGATAGGTTCGAGAGACGACTCCTGATGATGCTGATGAGGAGCATGTGGCGGGTGCAGTGCGGGTCCTGCAAGAGCAACATGCAATTATTCTAGGCCATCTCACGCGGCAGGATCAGGTCATGACGGAGCTAAAGAAGGCGCTTTCAGGTGCTTCAAATAATGCGAACAGGCGAGATCCAATTCCTCCCGATGTTCCCACAAACCAAATGACGCAAAGAGTCGACAACAACACTCCCAGGGGCGAAGTTGGCTCCAACGGGACAAGGGGGAGCAGATCCGGCCCCAACAACAATAATGATCCGTTAAAGGAAGAACTTTTGCGGTTCGTGAGGGAAGTAATCGCCCGCATGGATCAAATCCCGGGTGCCCAAACTCGAAGAAGTATATTCAGTTATCGTACAAGCCGAGTGCGGCCCCGAAATTAATCCCGAAGCGGTTCAAAATGCCTGAAGTGCCGAAGTATGATGGAACTTCAGATCCACAGGAGCACATTACCACTTATACAACAACAGTGAAAAGAAATGATTTGGATCCTCATGAAATTGAGTCTGTGGTGCTAAAGAAATTTGGTGAGACTCTAACAAGGGGAGCTTTAACGTGGTATTCGCTATTGTCCGAGCATTCCATAGATTCCTTTGAGATGCTCGCAAATTCTTTCATCAAGGCTCATGCCGGTTCCAGAAAGGTGCAGGCCCGAAAGGCCGACATATTCAGGATCGTACAGGGAGAGTCCGAGTTATTACGAGAGTACGTCACCCGGTTCCAGAAGGAAAAGATGTTACTACCGGCGGTCCGGGATGAATGGGCAACTGAAGCATTCACCAAAGGTTTAAATCCGAGAAGTTCGGATGCTTCCCGGTAGTTGAAGGAAAGTCTGCTGGAGTTCCAAGTGACGACTTGGGCGGATGTCCACAACCGGTACGAGTCAAAAATAAGTATGAAGACGATCAAGTTGGCTTTCCATCGTCGACCAAAGGACGGAGAAGAATAGAGAAAAAATAAAAGATGATATTGACACTGATAGACGGACTTCGAGGGGCAGGTTTTTGCCCTACTAGCGAACAGAAGGTCGTGGCATGAACTTTCGGACAACAGATAGGTTCACCGTTGATAGATGGACCGATCGTGTCCGGAACAACAGATCGTTGCAAGATAGAGAAATCTCGGGGTCGCGAGATTCTTCTTACCCAAAGTTATCAGAATATAACTTCAATGTCAGTATCGTAGAGTTGGTGTCGGCCATGATGAATATCAAAGAGGCACGATTCCCAAGACCTATGAAATTTGATCCCAGCCAGAGGGATCCCAATTTATGGTGTGAATACCATGGCACTAACGGCCACTGGACTGGGGACTGCCGACACCTCCGGGAAGAAGTGGCAACCTTGTTAAAGAATGGTCACCTCAGAGAATTCTTGAGCGATCGATCTAAAAACATCTATGATCGAAATAGGGGTGATGCGGAAACCTCGAAAGCATGAGAAGAACCTCCACGCCAAACGATCAACATGATCTTCAGAGGGAATGAAATTAACGGGGTCACCTTTTCGGCAGCAAAGAAGACAAAAGTGTCAAAAGTGTCGATAACTCATAGTGAGAGGCTCTGGAAAGACGATATCACGTTCACGCACGAAGATGCAGACGGATTACTACTGCCGCACAATGACGCACTGGTAATTTCTTTAAATATGTTAGATTTTGAAACTAAACGTGTTTTAGTGGATCCAGGAAGTTCAACTAATATCATACAATAGAGAGTACTTGAGCAAGCTAAACTCACCGGAAGCATTATCCCGGCAACGAAACT